TGGGAAGGAGCTCTACGAGTGGCAATGCGGATTTTGACGATAGCTCACATTGTACAGGCAAAGGCCGTCTACTTGGGATGGCAGGCACAGATGCGAGAAGCAAGGCCCCTGGTCGTTTTCGACAGGACCCCGACCTGTCCCTGATCACACGCGACTTACGCAGAGAAAAACAAAACGTTGCTCGTGATGGGCGGCATGTCTGTTGAACATCTGTTTGCGCTGCATACGCAACTGTAACAGCCATGCGGGAGAGCAAAACAATAGAGATGAGATGGCTTACAGGCAGCAGCGCCTGCACAAGAAGAGCAGGCTGCCAGCGCTGGCGCTGGTGCTGATGCCGCTTCTCAGATGTCAATCCAACACGAGCGCAGAAGGAAGGGGGTCACCTATCTGGAGCTGTCGTATCTGTCGTAGATCACATGTGTAATCCAAGGCTCCAGATCCTGGCCTTGCCATCTTCCAACAGTACAAGGAGTTCAAGGCCAGTTGCAAAAGCCATTGCTGGTTGAACACGTTCTGCGGTTCAGTGACGTGCCAGGAAATCGGCTGCGTTGAAGCAGCTGCTGCTGTGCTGAGGCTGGAGTGCAGCTAAGTAATGCTGCCGACTATTCTTCTTCTTTGCTGTTCCAAAATTCTCCAAAAATGATGCCAAGTGCGCCGCCAGGCAGGGCCTTGCGTCTTGCCCTGACAGTGCGGTGTTGAAATCGCTCGCGGAGAAGGAGGGCATATCGGCAGCACCACAGGCAGGGAAAGGGTTGTTTCCGGCTGGCATCCGCCAGTGGTGATGTCTAACTAGCCTTGTTCGAAGAAAAGGCCCAAGAAAGAGCGAGCCATACAAACCACTAATTACAGCCCCCTGCCAGGTCGCCAGGGTGACGAAGCGGGGCTTTGGGTTGCAGACAAACCTAAACCACAGAAAGGTTCAAGTCTGTGGTTTGGGGTGGGATGCATAGAGCAAGGGTGACCTGACTGGACCGGGGAACGGCGCATGGGACAGAAACCGTAGACCTGCAACACAAAACCCTACAGTCAAGAACCATAAGCTAAAACCCTCCACCCTGGAGGAAGACGAACATCAGCTGTGGCGACGAGAGTGCCTCGCCAAGCTATTCAGATGATGATGCCTGTTTGCTTGGCAGGTGTTTGAGTTGGGACCCTGCTGTAGAATTGGCATCAGTGTGCCAACACAAACAAGTCTGTCGTTAGGAGTGTGCGTGTCTTATGATGTTTGCACATGCATGCCCGGCGTTGTGCGAAGCTGCCATCTTACGAGCATATTGCAGGGTATTGCGGGTCATAAGCTGCAGGTGGGGGGTTGTTGCGGGGCGTGCGTGATCTTCAGGGCACATTGCCAGTTATTGCGGATGATCAGCTGAACTTACAGTAACACTGTAGCTACGTGCAGGTGTGGCGTTGTTGCAAGGTATGTAATAGTGGTGATAGTCATAGCCAGAATAGAAGTGATATTAATGAAGTAGTTGACTTGTAGTAATTATAACTAGCACATATATCAATCCTAGTAATAAGTTGCCTGGGCGCCTGAAGGATGCAAGCAGCCCAACATCGCCAGCGAATGCACCAGTGGCCCTGCTGCAGAACACCTTGTCCAAGAGAGCTATAGTCTAGAATCCTTAAAGGGGGCTATGTAGGGTTTAGGGTTTAGGATCTAAACTCCTTAAAGGGGGAGTATCTAGGGAGTTGTATAGGGAACTATTACAGGGGCAGTTAATCAGGATACTAGGAGTTTAGACTACAGTCCAGCTGGCGGTTTTCCAAAATTAGGCCCCTACTGGTTTAGGGGGGGGGGGGTTGTTGCAATTAGGGATAGGGTTATAG